TTTTCCATTCCCATCATTTCATTCTGTGACAGCAGGTTGTGATGTCACTTGTAAGAAGCATTGGCCTAGCAAATGGTCTGATCCTTAAGCACAAAAGGCAGCAGGTAGCAGAAACAGAAGAGCTCTGTTGCAGCACAGGTCTACATTAAAGTTTTCCAAAAGTTTCCAGGCAACAAAATCTAGAAAACTGAAGGAGAGAGTTTGTAGCATATAAAAGAAAAATGTGTTATTTGTTAAATTCTGATATATTCTACTCTTTTGTCAAAGTATGTGAGCCTCCATTTCTGCTGCACCGTAAGAGATGTTTACATGATTGCCCGTCTGGCTTCTTTGATGACACCATCCACTGTTTTCCCTGTCATGAACACTGTGAGGAATGTGATGGCCCAGATTCTGATGACTGCACAAAGTGTCTTGATGATGCTTTTGTTCTATATAATGCTGAATGCATGGACGAATGCCCAGAAGGCACTTACTATGAAGAACAGAATACAGCCTGTCAAGGTATTTTTCAAACCAAAACAGGATGGGAACATGGTGTAAAGGCTAGCTAAACACAAACAGAAATCACCATGAAAACTATAATATATAACAATTTACTGATAACCTTCCAAAATTATACTATAATATTCAATCCTTATTAAAGTTCCATATGCACAGAAATGCTTCTAGAAATATCCAGTATTCCGAATAACATGGATAATATCAAAGTGATATATAACCTTGCAAATCTCTATTGTCTATTGGGGGGAGAGTGAATGTCGGCTTTGCTTGGTTAGTGACAGCGTGTAACATTTCTCATGCAGAAGCCTCCCAAGTGTGCCTTGGGAAGAATGTGATCTCATCATTTTATGTGACCTTGCAGACTAAGCAGCTTCTAGATAGTGTAACCATCAGTATGCAAGTGTTAGGGGGCAGTGGTATGGGCAGAGCAAACATTCGGCAGGCTGAGTGGGCACCTTGATTGGCTAAGGGGTGTTTGGGGGATTTCCTATTCTCAGTATATTGTCGGGACTGACATCTGGGAGTCAGTTCCGTCATGAAAGTTGTCTATGCTTGGATCCTTTCTTTCTTCTAATAAACAAATCTTGCTGCTACAGGAGTGTTTGTGAGATTGATTGCATTCTAGGCCTTGACATGTTTATGCATCTGTGGCCAAAAAGTCTCTTTGTTTATTCGTTGTAGAGTCTGGAAGAGACAAACAGCAACCTGATGTGCTATTCCGAATGTTAAAAGTTTCCAACCAATGTTCTTCTTTAGAGTCGCATATCAAGCAATTAATCTGGAACCAATGCCTTCAAATAATAAAATACAGCAGTAACAATCACTTCCCTGGAGCATACTGCTTTCCAAATACTTTTCCAACCCGGCAAACACTTATGTTGGCTTTTAAAAGTGTTTGGAAAGTGGTATGCTCCAGGGAAATGACTGTTATGGCTGTATCTTATTATTTGAAGGCATTGGTTCCATATTAATTGCTTGATATGTAACTCTGAAGAAGAACATCAGTCGGACATGTTTTTATATCTAGAATAGCATGTCAAGTCGCTGTCCAACTCTTCCAGACTCTACAATGAATAAACAAAGAGACTTTTTGGCTGCAAATGCATAAGCAAAGAGATTGTTTCAAGGACTTTAAGAGCCTGTAGCAAGATCTGCAGGATTGTATATCACTTTGATGTTATGCATATAATTTGGAATATTGAATATTCCTAGAAGCATTTTGTTCATATGGAACTTTAATAAGTATTGAATATTATGGTATAATTTTGGAAGGTTATCAGTAAATTGTTATGTATTACAGTTTACACAATGATTTTTGTTTGCATTTAGCAAGGTATTTTTCAAGTCAGAGGTAGAAAAAGTTAGCACCAAAGGTGGTTTGGTTGAGTTTAGATCAGTAATTCCTAAGCTGCCAGCATGCCATGATAATTAAATGAAAATTAAAGACTCTGATGAGCTCAAAGTATCCACCTACACAGGAGGTTGCCTGCTGTATCTCTGTGCTCTGATCTTGCCTTATTTCAGTGAAGCTCTGCTGGGGATAAGTAAGTCTGCATTTGAGTCATCCATCTTTCTGATATGGTAGGGTTGCCAGGTCCCCCCCGGCCACCAGTGGGGGATGGGGGTAGGGTTACCAGATCCAGGTTTGGAAAATCCTAGAGATTTGGGGATGGGGCCTGTGGAGGACAGGGACCTCAGTGGGGTACAATAGCATAGAATCCACACTCTACGGGTGCGTTCAGACGCGCCGTTTCAGCCGGCATAAACTGCTCCGGTTGGAATTGTTGCAGTTTATGCTGGGTGAAACGCGATCACACTTACCTCCTGTCTGCGGATCCCATTGCTGTATGCCTGTTCACACACAGCGAAGAACATTTGCATCTGTGAAGTTGGTCGAGTTCGTTGTCTCATGGACTGCAGGCCAGTAGGCTCGGAGGATAGCTGCATTTCTAGGCGGTTTGATAAAGGTAAAGGTAAAGGTTCCCTTGCTTGAAAGCCAGTCGAATCCGACTCTAGGGTTGCGGTGCTCATCTCCGTTTCAAAGCCGAAGAGCCAGCGCTGTCCGAAGACGTTTCCGTGGTCATGTGGCCGGCATAACTAAACACCGAGGCGCACGGAACGCTGTTACCTTCCCACCGAAGTGGTCCCTATTTATCCACTTGCAATTTCTTGCTTTCGAACTGCTAGGTTGGCAGGAGCTGGAACTAGAGACGGGAGCTCACTCCGTCTTGCGGCACCTGGGTCTCAAACTGCTGAACTACTGACCTTCCACAGCCTGCAGTTCAGCGTCTTAACCACTTGAGCCACCGCAGCGCATATTGCCGACCTTTAAAAAAAATGGTGGGCGAAAATCGGAAGCCTCAGGCTTCCGAACGGAAGTGGCTAGACACCCGTGGAGAGCGATCAGACGGGGGGGGGGGGTAAAGCGATTACAACCGTTGTACTCAGGATACCACCACTTGGGGACCTAGTGGCAGAATACAATGGTTTAAAGCTCTTTACAACGGTTAGGGACGGAAGGCAGATGTTCTACGTGTGAACGCTGGTAAGTACACCGATTCCAACCAGCACCTAAACCGTTGTAAATGCCCCATCTGAACGCACCCTAGAACATGCATTTTCTCCAGGAAAAGCTGGTTTCTGTAGTCTAGAGATGAGCTGTAATTCTAGGGGATTCCCAGATCCCACCTGGAGGCTGGCATCCCTATGATATGGTTATGCAGGAGAATTATGCATCCTCAAAAGAGGATTCTCCTACATCAGCTCATGAGTCACTGCCTCTATCCAAGAAGGCAAATCCAGAACAGAAACAACAGTTCCTGTAAGAGCTACACACTTTGAAGATAATGTATTCAGGTGTTAAAATGAAGAGAGAATAAAAGTTTAAGTAAGAAAAATGTCTCATGGCCAAGCTAGATATGCTATAAGACACCTATAATCAGGAAATCTCTTTTTAAGTGTCAGAATAAATGTGATGAGTGGCCAGTTTGATCATGAAAGTAGTACTGTGGGAGGGGTGTGTAGTGCTTTCCTACCTTGCCATTTCCCTGATCCAAATCTCCCTCCCACTCTGTTCCTTGAAGATATCATTAGTTCCTTGATATTAAATATAAATATAAAACATGACAGTTTAAAAACAGCATAGATTAAAACAGAACAGACTATTTATCCTTGTGCAGAGATTGCCAGCTCATGCCATTGGTCTCTAGATCTTCTTAGCCTGGGCCATGTGGAAATGGTAGCTTTAGCAAGGGTGGCCAAGCTTTTATTGGATGCCCACCACCTCAGCCAAAGTCCTGGTGGAACAGCTCCATTTTGCAGGCTCTGCAGAATGGTAACAAGTCTCTCAGGGCCCTGATCTCAAGTGGGAGCATGTTCCACCTGGCCAGGGACAGGGTAGAGAATGCCCTGACTCTACTCGAGGCTAAGCTGACATCTGTTGGGCTGGGGACCACAAGCAGGTCCTGATCTGCAGAGCGCAAAGCTCTCTGGGCATACATATGGGGAGAGGGCGGTCCTTCAGGTATGTCGGTTCCAGGCCACATAGGGCTTTAAAGCTTAATACCAGTACCTGAAAGTAGATCCGGTACTCAACCGGTAGTCAATGCAATTGGTGTAGCACTGGCCGAATGTGTGCCCACACAGGCAACACAGTCAGCAGGCACGCCACCGCATTTTGCACTAGCCGGAGTTATGAAGTGACCTAACAATGGTATGGTGTTACCATGTGTGATCTGAAGACATGACTATTCTAGACATGGTGTGAGTGGTCCACTTGTCAATCAGGGTTCTAGTCCACGCCAAAACAGTCTGAGTCTTCCTCATGGTGCTTCTCACTCTTAACCTATGGTTAAGTGGAGTTGTGGGGAATTTCTAAATTGTCTTCTCCACAGTTCCTTGTGGAGTTCCAACTTTCATCATTCTCTGTTTAAATGATAAACTGGCTGGGTCCTCTGGGAAAGCTGCACAACAGGGCCACACACAAACAAGGTAGGGGAGCTCTACCTGCTTGGGAGCATCCCCCAGTACCCACAAAGGCAGGATCATTTCAACTTACCCGTAGAAAGGACAGAAAATTGAGAGCAGCTGAGCTTTAGGAGAAATCAGCCATCTGGATCCCTTTAGAGAATCTGGAGGGAGGGGTGTTGAGTGGTGGGGTAGGATATACAAGTTATTCAATTGAGAGGAGGTTAACCTCAAAGGCCCTTTTCAGCTTGTAATTAATAACACTGAACTTTTGATTCTCTTTGCCAACCTCAGCTATCACACTAGGGGTTGTATCCAGCAATATCCACTGGTTCCCACTGCAGATCCCCTCATTGTGGTCCTGAGGGTCTCTTATTCCCCAGGAGCAGCGTTTTGTGGAGATCAGTGATCTGCAGTGGGAATAGGGAGCTAGTGAAACATTTAATCTGGATTCAACCCTAGGATTGCAAATACATCTATAACTATGATTTCTGTAATTCCAGAAACTTGCTACATGCTTTAAAAAAT